ATGATTTTAAAAATATCCTTAATTGCGATTTTCATAGTATTTTTAATAACTACCTTAACAATGGAAAAGAATATTTTTTCAAATTGATGGAATACCACAAGGATCTAATCTTTCATCTCTCTTAGCTAATTTATTTTTGCACTATTATGAAGAAAAAAATCATGCACTTATTATTAAATATGTTTTTAGATTTATTGGTGATTTAATTATCTTTAATTTTCAAAGTTATACAATTTTATTAAATAATATTTACCGCAAAGAATTAATCTTGCTTTGTAATCATGATGATAACATTAATTAAAATTTTTTAGATTTGGGTATTATAAAAGAAGAAAATATTTGCTTTGTTGATTTAAACGATAAAAGAAATGATTTTAATGTAAATAAACTAATTACTTAGAATTTTAATGTTTCTAAAATATCTATTTAAATACGATGTTTAATCAAATGAATAGAAATAAAAAAACATAAAGTAATGGTTTTTTTCTCCAAAAAAATTGACAAACTCTTCAAAACTTGAAAGAAAAAAAACAATTGATACCCAACTAAAGTGATAAAATTCTATGTGAAATCATTGAGTTAATTGTATGTTATTATAAATAAGTTAATTAAAAACTTCTTGGTTAATTTATATAATTTTTACCACGTGCAAATCTATTTCGGGCAAATCCGTGGCTAAAAATATGCGCCAAACGGCAATTCATGCTTCTTTCTCTCTTTTTTTCTTCTTAAATAAATGTTATTTTTCTAAAATCATTAAAATTGTATAATTAAATGTCAACCTATTAATTATTAACTTATCCAGAATAATATCAACTCGCGCACATCCATTTTCGAGCCAATCCTTGGAAACTTACAAATCAAACGCGCTTCAGTACTGTATTATATATATATATATATAAAATATTTTAAGAAGGGGCGCCGATAGGGAGGATTGCCATAGGCGCCATTTTCTCTAGATACGCCTCTGAATAGCTCCCCTGTCTTTTAGGTCCAACGACCCGCACGCGAATTCGACCATTTTTTAGTAAAAAAGTTTAACGAGGACTGATACCATGCACTTGCGGTCCCTACGTAGACTAATCAAAGTAATCACTTTTCCGCTCACTAACCACAACCAGTGATACTTGACTTCGGTGTTTTACGGAGAACCGTGTAACTATGGTACCACATATATAATAAATTAAAGAAAGTGTTTAAGGCACTTGTGGTGATGGTAAAACTTTAGGTGAAACTTTCCATCCCAACTTGATTAGATCAGTGTGTCCATTAGATTTCAGCAAAAAGCTTAAGTCCAAGTTCAGAGAAAATGTTTCGTAGAAATATAGGTCATTTTCTAATTTTTTAAAATTTTTCTTTGTACGGAAATCATTGAAAACTTATTTTATATTAAGAAGTGAGCGTCAATTTTTTAGAGAATGCCCATTTATGTCAACAGATATTTCTAGAAATTTAAAAAAAAAACTCGTTTAATTTTAAATTTAGATCAAACATATTGCTAACCTAGCAGAAGATATACTTTGCGAATTTTTCCTGATTTTTTTTCAATGTGGAAATAATTTTATACTTGTTTTATTGGGAAAAGTGGGCTCAATTTGTTGCAAAATACCCATTAATATCAAAAAATACTAATAGAAAATTTAAAAATGTAGTTGGTTAGTTCTAAACAAAGTTCCGAATTCTAAAAATAAGAGCTTTGTGAATGTTTATTAATTTTTTTGCAATGTGGAAGGAAATCATTTAAAACTTCTTATTTCATATTAAAAATTGATCGTCAACTTAAGTGATCGAAACATGTTTTATAGTGCAAAGTGAACAACATATTGTTAAAAAATATCCATATCTATCAACAACAAAAAAAATCATTTATAGAGAAAAAAATTATTAGTCAATAACATGCAAAACTTATAGCATTCATTTCGCAAAGGTTGGATTTTTTGCAATGCGGAAATAATTTTAAGCTTGTTTTATATTAAGAAGTGAGCATCAATTTGTTAGAAATTATCAATATGTCCATATGTGTTGAGAAACTGTGGAAAATTTTTAAAAAAATTTTTGTTAGTTTTTCTAAAATATGTTATTTCGTCCATAACATACCGAAATTTACATATATATGAGTTTATGTGAAACTAATTTTATCTTAAAAAGCGAGCGTCAAATTATTAGATGTGTCAAAATGGATTTATGGCAATATTTTACAAAAATCATGTTTCTGTCAACACATGCCAAATTCTGATCACATAATTCGCTAACGTAACACGGTGTGAATTTTCCATAACTTTCAGCTATGCGGAGATTATTTGAAACTTCACTTTGTTACAAAAGTTGAATACATGTCAAGAAATAATTTCTAAGAATGTTGGAAAAGAAGAAAAAAAAACTCGTTTAGCAAAATATGCAAAAAGGCATAGCATCTAATTTACAAAGGGAGGAAATTTCACAAATTTTTAATAATTTTTTGCAATGCGGAAATTAAACTCGTTTATATTAAAATATGAGCGTCAATTAGGAAAAGAATATCGATACAAGTAAAGATCGATTTTGAGCTCTCCCCCCCCCCTCCCCTCCTAAAGAATGATTTTTTTAGGAGCGCCACTGTCCAGCCCTCGGCCCTCGCAATGGAATAATGAAATCGCTAAATTTAAAAGATAGGAAATAAAAGACACAAATAAAAGCAATAATTTCTTTAATGAAAGTAATTCACATGAATCGGATACAAACTTTTTAGCACTATAAGGTATTTAACCACTTATCTATTGAACAACAAGATATAAAACAAACTTAAAAGTTCTGAAGGGAAAAATATACTATAATGTTAAATACCATTTATAAAAATGATTAACTAAAAGATATTAAGGGTTAAAACAAACAAAATATGTATGATACAAACATGATTTACCATTATTATACATCAAATACATTTATAGGCGACACATTATCAGTCGCTTTTGCTTTCTTGTTCATCAAAATATATAATTTCTTTATCACATAAAACGTAAGTAACAGGAAAATGGCAGTAAAAATAGTAGCAAAGGCACTTCATTATCTTTAAAAAAAAAATAATTATAACAATAATTTCCAATTACAAATCATTGTTGATGTCTTTTCTGCCAATGTCAGCTAAAAATAGAGAAAAAAGAAAAAATTATGAAGATTTAATCACTAAGTCAAATCAAACACATGTTTTTTATATGTTACTAGCCTATAATTTGCTAGTTCTGAAGAAGAAAAAAATTAGAGCTTTTTTTTTTTATTATTGGATGAGACCTGGTACTAGAATTTAAAGTGTCTATCGGCAGTAATTCTTCAAAAATCAAAAATTGTCGGCGACCTCAATGTAGTCTGACAGATATTATTATTGCAAAAATGAAACATACGCGTAGAAAAATTTGCATATATAACGGATTTAAAAATTATACATAAAAACTTTTAATTCGTTAAATTCGAATTTGAATTTTATGCAACGATACATAAGAAATGGAATTAATCTTATATGCAGTAAGAGTCTGCAATAAATAATGAAAAGTGTTTTTTTTTTTTTTTGTTCTTTGTGGTGTTTCCTCAGTTCAGCTTTATGATTTTGATTCGAAACAAATATAAAAAAAAATGTCGCTTTACTTTTTGATTTTGACTGTGCTCTCTCAATTCAGTGAATAAATTTTAATAGAAACAAGTATAAAAAAAAAATTTCTCTTATCCGTTTGTTCTTTGCTGTGTTCTCTCAATTTAGCTTTATAATTTTGATTAGAAATAAAAGTAAAACTGCTATGAAAAGAATTCTGAGTTACATATTTTTTTTTTCTCCTTCCGCTCTCCCCCCACCCCCCTCCTATTTTTAAATCCGAGATGAAAAATAGTACGCTGATGCTGTAATAATTTACAGCGCCTGCTGCGATGCTGGAAGGTTTTTGCTACCAAGTGATAAAATATGCTTATTTTAATTTATTATAAGTTTTTAAAACAGGTATTTTTTTCTGCGTTACACCGTTTAAGATTTGTATCTGAACGCTCAAAATTTCGCAATAATCCCATCATGTCAAATGACAATATTCTTTTGGATTTTTTAGAATTATTGCATCAGAATGTAAATGTAACATGTAAAACAGTCTGAAGGGCTTCGCACGAAAAGATTAATTAGGTTTATTTTCATTGCTTGTTCCCCAATAAAACCCCCATATCAGGACAGACGAACAGGGAGGTTGTAACAGCTACTTGTAATAAATTTTTTGAATCAATTTTTGGCAAATATTTGAAAATGAGTAACTTCTAAGGACTTTCCACAATTATAGTAAAAATTATTTTTAAGAATTGTATTAAAAAAAACTGAAGGGAACAAAAGTCCCACTTTTCTAATTCTGCATATATTCATTATAAAATTTGAATATTTAATAAATATTTTTCGTTCTTATAAAAATTAATATAGATAATCTAGAATTAAATTAATCTATGATGGGGAAGCAGGAAAAAATAAAGAGTAGTTTCTCCCATAGCTGCAGCTTTGGCGCTTAACGATTTTAAGAAGTTGCAAGCATTTTTAGACCTTAGAATTCAACAGTGTTTCGATAATTGAATATTACACATCAGACAGCTTGCAACTCTTTAGTCAGTTTACGAGCAGTTAAAGTGAATGTGCTGAGAAAGATGCATCTAACGCGGAGTTAATGCTTTTTAGAGTCGAAATGGGATTACGCTGCTTCATTACCCGGACAAAACATGGATATCACAAATCAGAACTCTTCGATTACCATACATTGTTTCATCGACAGCAACATTGGAGTTCATGGGGTTAGCTTGACCCGGAACTTATCAGATTTGATGTTAATCTACGTCCTTTAAGAAAACTTTCATTTCACTTACTGTTTGTTCTTGCGTTTGCCATAAAAGCAAACATTCGACGATACGTTCGTCTTCTACACTTAAAATCATATACTGAGCTTTTCCTAGTTCTGAACACGCCCATCTTTACATAGCACGGCTTTACATTCTCCTTAAATGCTCTCTGATGCACTCTCTTATTTTAATTTATAACACTGAAGAGCAGGGCCCGACTTAGACTAATTGAGGCCCAGGACAAAGCCTTTTTTGGGGGCCCCCCTCTGCTTCAGTAATGAAGAACCGAACATTGTGGAAGTATTTAAATTTTCTACCTAATTATAGATACAGTAGAGTCCCGATAATCCGAGTTTCCGCTTTAACCAAACTATCAAATATTTTAAGGGTTTTTTTGTTCTAGTTTATTTTTTATTTTTAAAAATACCGCCGAAAAATAAATCTGAATTTCATCTTCCAAAGACTCGGGAAAACAAAATCTAACAACTTGATCCCATGAAATGATCGTTAATATCGTCAATAATGAAAATGAACCTAGCGAAGATGATGAAGACAATGACGATGAAAAACAACATATAAAAATCTCTCACACAGATGAACTTAAAGCTGTCGAAAATGCTACTGAATACATAGAACAATATTTCTTTT